AGTCAGTGAATTTTGTTCAGCACATACAGTCATGTAAGCACCAGGACAGTTAACACACGGGATCAAGACATAGAACATTGCCTTCACCCAAAATGTTTTCTTATACCCTGTGGTAGTCAGCCCTTCTCATCTTCTAACCCCTTTAGCCCCTGACAACAACTGATGTGTTTTCCGTTCTTACAGATTTGCCTTTTCCAGAATGCTATTTAAATACAATAATATAATATGTAGTCTTTTGAATCTGTTGAACCCATTTAGTACACTTATTATTTCAGATATCTTCTAGCTTTAGGAAATCTTTCCAACTAGATCTTTTGTTTTGTTTAGTTCTTATTTTCCTTTTATTATTTCTTATGTTCGTACTTCCTTTGAGTATTTGTATTAGCTATTTTAAAGTCCTTGTGTGCTAATTCTGTAAGGTCTGTCACTTCTGTGTTTCTGTTGACTGCTTTTTCTTCTGGTTATGGCTCATGTTTTTCTACTCTGCATATCTAGTAATTTTGATTGGATTCTGGGCAGCGTGAATGTTGTTCAGTGTTGATTTTGTTTTTTGCTTTTGGTGTTGAGCTATGTCTTGGCAGGCAGTTAATTGATTCAGAGATCAGTTTGATCTTTTCAAGATTTATTTTTAGCTTTCTTCTAGAGTAGCATTTATTCTAGGTTGGTTTAGCCCCATTATTAGGGTATGACCTTTCTGGGATCTCTTCTGAATGCCCTGAGTGTTCAATAAGGACCTTCCTTCTGACAGGTTGAACTCAAGTGTCTGAGGTTAGATTCTGTGCAACTTACAGCTCCCTGGTAGTTCTTTTCTTGATCTTATGGAATTTCATCCCGTAAGAGTGCAGCTTAATATTCTGCAGAAGTGTCTGTGGACCCCTATACAGATTTCTGGAGCTCTTTCTCTCTGCAGTTGACTGTCCCTCAAATTCCTGTTGTCTCACCCTCTTTCAAGTCTGATCTTTTTCTCCTTTGTTTCTGTCAGGGTCTTATAAAATTGCCTTGGGTTGGGGAGTGGTATAGCTCAGTGGTGGAGCACATGCTTACCGTGCACGAGGTCTTGGGTTCAATTCCCATTACCTTGAGGGGTACTGGGAATTCCTTGAGGGGAAAGTCCCAGTGATGGCAGGGCTCACCTTATTTCCTTTCTTTTATGAATCATAGTCCTGTGTTGCCTGTTGTCCAGCTTCTGAGAATAGTTTCGT